GTATAACCCTTTTCTCGGATAGAATACAACACATTAATGAATTGCATGTCATTCGTGTGGATTATAGTTTCGGGCTTCCTTTAGCAAATCCATGCCATATATGGAAACAAACAAAATGGCCGATTGTTCAGAAGTGTTTTCGCTATAATATATGCAAATTTCAGACGAAAAAATCGCCAGGGCCACACGTACTTCCAAATAAGGTAAGATTGCCAATTTATGACTGCGAAACGAAGTACAAATTTTCATAGGAAAATTCTTTGATATCGTTAACAAGTTGCACGTGGGGACTGTGGTTTGGCTCCAAAGCAATTATACAAAATCGGATTACAAACCAAAGGTTGACCTTTTTGAGCTTGTTTATCTTTTTGCAATGTCCGGATAATAATTTTTGTTGGATATTATAGTACTTATTTTTACACACTTCACATTTGAGGACTGAAGCAAACATGTTGTACGRTTTCTTTTAACCGCAAAAGTGCGGTTGCGCATAATGACGTCACAACTTTTAGAGTCGGAAAAATGCTCAAAAATATAATGAAAAATTATACCTATTAATGTGTTCTCTCTCTCATTTCTATTTAGTTTTGATACATAACAATTAACTTTGATTGGTCTTATTGGTATATTTTCTTTGATATTCGGCAATCCTGTCCCTTTCTGTTGACCATAATCCTTAGCGTTAAAACAACAGAAAGTTTTGATGTGACGTAATTGTGCTATAGGGCAATTGCGTCATTGCAACTTAAAATGTAAATACGCCGATGAAGCATCACTGCTCACTTACCTTTCCATAAGAAGCGTTTCCCAGGATGCAAAGTCACCTTGTTGTCATATACATCATGTGTTCCGACGGTACGAAGGTCAAAGTCTGTGAACATGAAAAAATGTCCCTATTGCAACTGTTAGCCTTTCTTATCGTTTGCAAAAGAGATCTGTTGTTGGCAGTTTCAATAGTTTTCCGCTTGGTTTAAAAATAAAGATGGTATGTGTGGAAACCGCGCAAAGATTGTCTGATGTAAGTCTGTCTTTAGGGCCTACTCAATATTTATTTATTTATTTATTTTTTATCAAGGGGAGGGGGGATAAATTACGCTCAGCCCCCGACCCCCCGTGAATTTATTTATTTAGTATTCGTGAATAAAGAGTTGTCGCAAATCGTCGCACGCTTTCCTTKAGACGTTTTCCACTTCAATAAGTGTTTAGCCAAAAAGCACAGAATCTGACACCGAGTTTTCAGTTTTTAGTTAGTTTTAGAAGTTGCCCCTCCTCTTTAWGCACATACAATTAGATTTTGCCTTCCTCCTGGATTGTCAACCCCCACTCCTGATAAATATTGCGCAGTCACTTAGTTTTATAGTTTTCAGTTGTTTTAAATGTTGCTTAAACCCAAAGCATGACTTCATCTTACAACAGCTTGTCGACTTTTAAAATTTTTCAGGACTGTTGAATGGATTTACCTTTGATTTGCATAATGGAAAAGTGTCCATATCTGTCGCCCTTTTTATCGAGATGAACAAATCCCTGTAAGAAATTAAAAAAGGCAAGCTTTATTATTTATGTTTTACGTCTCAAAATGGTTTACTTTTATTTTGTTTAGCCTTATTAAGTATTATTGATCGTTTTCAACCATTCCCATAAGATTCAAAAGATAAAAGACTGGCGGCCATGTTGGAGGAATGAACAATAGATACTAATGAGAAATCCTTTGTTAAAGTTCCTCCAAAATGTCCTGATCTGTGACGTAACTTGAAAAAGAAAAAAGAATAAATTGATTTGGAAAAAAATCTCTCTTCTCTATTTATGTAGTGACACTGCTAGATTCAAAGTCATTGCTTGGGCTCCCTTTGGTATAACTTAACATTTGATAATCAYATACACTTACCGTTGCTCCCATAAATTGGGTTTGGATGACATTGTTTTTTATTGTTAAAGCAGTTGTCTTGTCCTTRTAGTACGTGTGATCCATAAAAAAAGAGAAACGATTCTTGTTTGCAAACGTTTTGTTTAAAGCCAAAGCTATCATCCAAGCTGCGTCAAATGCAAACGGTCCATAAGGTGAAGTTTTGGCATTTCTTTCTTGTGAGTACTGTTTGTACTGTGTAAGGAACTCATCTGGAGTCTGCATGCGATAAATTATTGCATTATGCGTAATTCATTTTTATATGAGAGTTCGCAACTCGAGTTGTTAATCATAAAAAAGGGAATAAAGCAAGTTCAAACCAATTTAGCGCCGTGAAAAAGGGGAGGAAATCAAAGCATTCCACCAACTTTTTATTTCATTCTTTCTGGATGCTATTAAAGTTAAAAAACATAACACAAAGTTCACGTCAATTTAGCACCATTCAAAAGATGAATTTTATTAAGGATTAGCTGAAATTTAGGTGTTCGACGATTAACTCAAGCTATATTTAAGTGGATTGTCTTTCTAGATGTGGTTAAACTAAAAAATCAAAACTGTTTACAAGTCAACTTGCCACCGTTAAAAAATAAGTTGATTTTACTTACTAGCCTTGAGATTCCTGTAGTATTTTGCTGGCCTATTGACATATCACTGATCATAATGGCATGCTGCGCTGCTTCGGTAATTTCCTTTTCTGTGCACTTCAACGAAGGGTACGTTCTATTCCACCATCCATTTTTATCTGGGGTATTGATAATCCAAGCATACTGTTT